AGTATACCCAAGTTCAAAACCCAAAAATACAACAAACACATAACTTTTACATTCAGAAGGACCGCGGCTAATTTTAGCAACACCACCTTGTCAAAATTCGCCTTGTGCTGCACATTTTACAAGTGACACTTCGGTCGGTGTTATGCAGACAAATTTTGTTTGCCAAATTAAATGGCGGCTGCTTAGTTTGCTCGGAGGTGGTTATGTCGAGTTTGGCACAGGGTTGCACGTTCATTATGGTTTTCATGGCTATTGCCAACACGAAATGAGAATTTTGTGTATAGCAACAATTGTCTAAAATTTTTGTATATGACAACGCCGAATTTGCTGCAGTTTGCCAAACAAAATTAGTTTGCTGTGAGAGTCGCCAAACTCGCTCTCTCCGAGTTTGCTGCAACAACAATTGCACGCAGTTTGCCAAACAAAAGTTCTGCATAACACCGACCTTCGCTTTTGGGTGTTCTTTGCTGGTTCTTTGCGCCGCCTGGTGTCGTCAGTGTTCCGGTGTTGCTGGCGCCATTGCGTCACTGAGTTGTGAAAACCGGTATCGGCGCCAGTATCGCAGCTCTCGCAGCAAAAGTAAGTAAAAATAAAAATTTTCATTGTGGTATGACATTCTTTATATATATGAACGTAATAAATAAAACCGTATTATAAAGTACTTGGTACTGAAGAAGTTCAAATGCGCACATAAACAGAAAAAAGAAAGACGCAAAACGAAAAGATGCTCAAAACTTAAAGTGCTGTGGAAAAATAAAAATAAGTTTTATAAAATATTTCATTTAAAATGAATAAAACAGCTTTTAATACCGCCATTAGCAAGAAAAACGGATTTACGAATCCAATATTAAAAAATTGCATCGCATCGCCAGTTCTCTACCACTGCAGTCCTATTGCGCTGTGGATTTAATAGAAACAAAATTAAAAGATCCAGAGTATGCAAAAGCCATGATAATGAATTATATTATGGAATACATATTTCACGTTCTAATTGCTGTACATAAATTTTTCAAAGGTCAATTACATATATTAAAAATAAAAGGTGTGTCTGAGGACGCTGCCAGCGGTATTAAACATTCATTTTCGGACGAGGCATTGCTGCAGCTTAACTGTGACGGCAGATGGGAGAGAAAACCACTAAACAAACTTATACTGGTTGACACAGTCCTACGAGGTAATATGTACACATATTAGGGACACAACAAGTTCTGACCATTTATTTTTTCGTTATTTATTTATAACTATATACCTATATAAAAACCTCTTTAACATACTTTGTCAAAAATTCTCAAAAATCGACGCAAGTTCCTAAATAAATGGTCAAAACGTATAAATAAATAGTATCCCTAATTATGTGGCCACTACCGTATACATACTTCAATCGTTCTTGACTTCAATCCACTTAGATGCATTTCAAAAGAAAGGTCCTGTTGAGTTCGAAAAGAAATCAGGAAGGCAATTGAGCTCAATGTAATGTATAATATGTATTAGGATATTAGATTTAAGTATGTACTATGTACGTTGGTGGCAAAAATAATAGAAGCGCCTTATTTTGCTTAATTTTTGGCCACATTTCCTTTGTTTATTAATGTTTAATGTACTTAGGGTAATGTATTTAGCTTCTAATTTGATGTAATGTATTTACTTAGCTTCTAATTTTTTGACGATCAATAATTAGTTCAAAAGATTTTATGAAAATAAAAGAAAAAACAAGTATTACATTTGTCATTAATGGTAGATTTCTATATCGTGGGAGAGAGATCAGACTAGACGAATTTTTACATCAACTGTGAGTAATCAACAATGATATGAAAACATGACAGACTTGATGTATCATGATTGATCGGTTATAACATCAAATTTGATTGCACATTACTGACTTATATTTCTATCAAGGTTGATCACTCATAATTGTCGAAGATTTACATCACTGATGATTAAAATTTGAAGGCCGAACTCAAAGGGAGTAAGCAGTCTAGCAATATGCCAGAACGTATATGTTAGAAGGAGATGAAGCATCACACGTACACAAAAGTTTCCATCAGATTTTTCACACTGCCCTTTAGAATTTGATAGAAACTTGTAGGTAGCCAGTGACAGAAATCTCCCTACAAGAATTCTTTAATTAATTGTGTGATGGAAACTTACACATTCTCATTTATTTTACTAACACATTTGCAAATTTTGCGTTGGTTAAAAAGAGACCAATA